TGATGTAAATTAAATGCTGAATGGCGGTTCATGCAGGGAAAGAACATATCAATATTCACATATTCATTCAAAAACATGAAAATTCTTAATGGAGTACCCTCATTTCTTATTGAATTCCTAAAAAACAATATTTATAATGAATTTTAATAATTTTTTCGGATTTTTTTTAAGCTTTATTCTGACCGATTCACCCGATTCCCGATCCGGATTGCCGATTCGCGGATCCGGATCGGTTTTTTGGAAGCCCGATCCGGGTCACCGATCCGTTTTTTAAACCATTGGTTGAGGGTATTAGTTAGAAAATATGGTTTTTGAGAAAAAGAAATGAGTAAAATTTATAGTTGGGGTAGAGTATGTAAAGAGTATATTTTAGGAGGTTTTCAGCAATTTTTTTAAAATAATAATCATTGTGCCCTTTAATTGATGGAAAAATTGCAACTAAAAGGAAGGTTGTAACATGCAACACTTTGCATTTGGACACGGTTTTTACGAGTCCACGGACTCACATGTAAAAATGCAGGCTCCTAAATAATTTATTTTTGAAATAAAAGTTGATCCTAATTTTTAGGGAATATGTAATTTTTAACACGAAAAATATTAATCAGTAAAAATAATAATTTTAAAAAATAAGAAATGATAATTTTTGGAGAAAATTTTGGAACCGTTGATTTTACTTTTTCCTTAGATGACTATTATTTATGGGAGCTGGTTTTGGTGGACGGTGTAGATCTACTAATTTTTAGTTGGACGACATAGATTTTGTATTGTTTAAAAAGTCAGATTTTAGCCGCTACCTTATTTTTACACATAAGTGATTGTGTGCATTCTTTCGTATGTGTAAGTGTAACTTATTGATATGAAATTAGGAATGGTATGAAATTAGGAATGGGAGCCTCGATTTCAATGTTCTATTCGGATTTCGATTGTTCCGACTTGGACCGAGAAGGACTACGCTAAGAATAACGAAGAAATCAAAAGAATTTAAAAGATTTGGTGAATTGGGGTGATCTTTGAGTTTCTCGAACCAAAATTGCCACCCTGCGATCTCGATCTTCTTAGCCATTTCTAATCGGATCCAAATCTTTTATATAGGTTTGAACTTGTAAAATTGTGCCTTTTTTTTTAAAAAAAAATTGTCTCTTTTACATCTATATCATGTTTGTTTGTTTGTTTGAAGGAAAATATCAATTAAAATAATAATATATCATGTTTGTTTGTTAGAGTGGCTATATTTAGTTTTGTTTTTCTTAGATACCTCCTTAAAGACTATATTAAAAGATGCCCAATTACTTTACTTTTGGTCAGGATTGTGGATCTTGAACAAATGAAGGCATTTTTTCAGTCCAGCTTAGCCATTAAAATCACAATAATGCTTGGTTTTTCAGGATTAGCAACTTGAAACAAAGGATTCTAATGACAAAAAAATGAGTCCCACGTTGCTAACCCTAAACCACCAAGGTTGTTATCATAAATAATTAGGTGAATTTCATGTTACTAGCCCTGAACAACCAAGAGTATTATCATCAATTAGCTCGTGCCACTAAGTCAAGGCAAAATACCAAAATGCTCCACTTTAGGATTTTTAATCCTGAATGAGGATAATTTAGTTAATTTGATGACATTTTTTGAGAAGGTACCTGAAATCGAATTTAAAAGGTAACTATTCCAGTGAGATAATTTCACCGCTACTTGATTACAAAATGTGGCTTTACAATGTAAGTGATAGTTTCCCAAACTTTCTTTTCTTTCTCAGAATATTTACGTAAAGACAAAGACGCAATATATTTCACTGAAAGTGGCATTACTGAAATCTAGGATCCCATGACTCTAAAGCAGTGTCTTAAACTCAAAATCGACCCAATGTATTTCACTGACAGTCAGCCGGGTGAATCAGCCATCTAGATCAACGAATCAGCTGATTTTCCAGGGTGAGAAGTGATCCAAAAAGATAAAAAATTTGAAAAAAAAAGAAATAAAAAAAATAAAAAAATGTAAGGTATGGAATCGGGTGATCTGGTTCCTTGCCAGACTCACCGAAGTGCCTGACATAAGCGGACGAGTCCCTTCCTGTCATGAAACTGGGCATGCCTCACAATTGTTTTGATTGAAATCACACCTAGGCTGTATCCTACCATGATATTTTCTTACTAATGGGGGCATAACTGTTTCCTACCACAATATTTTCCTGATAACGCATAACCAAAACATAGTGTCTATGAAAAGAATATATATTGTCTATCAGGTTAATATGGAATGTTTATATGTAATAAGTATATAGACGATATGGTAGGAAAGTGTATATTGTGTATTGGGTTAATATAGAAAGTATATATTGCAATATATACTTTCTATATTAACCCAGTACACAATATACAATTTCCTCTCACAGTGTCATGAATCTCACATTAAATGTAACAAAAAACAGTAGAGCATAAACTCAGAAATTGGTGACTAACACTAGACAAAGCAATTTGTGAAATTACCCAAAAATTGTGTCTTTCAATTCTCATTGGTAGTCACCAACTACTTACTGTATGTCCTATTGTGCAGCTTTCTTTTTGAGTTCAATGAAAAAGGCTCATGTGAAATTAAAAAAGAAGAAAAAAAAAGAGAGAAGTGTTGATGTGAGTCGCAGCAGATGAATGTTTCACACACGCATGCACGCACAGAGAGAGCATTTATGCTTTCTCATTGCAATGGACTACAATAACAATTTTTTATTTAAAAGAAACCAGAGTGAAAACCGCAGACTATGTTAAGAAATTTCCAAAAAGCAATAAAGGAAATGAAATGTATAGATAACTAGGAAAGAACAGAACAATTTAAGGCAGCTGTTCTCTAGTCTTTCAATGTATAGAATTTTACATAAGATTCCAACCTTACACTATAAAAGTCGGATGAACCACAAAAAACCCACCCAAAAATATCCTTAAATTTATCACCTCGACATTGAGATGTATGGACATGAAAAATAAAAGAGTTTCATGTACTAAAAAGAATGTATCTCGTAGCGCATTATCTGGATAGTCAATTTTAAAAAAAATTCAAGTGTTTTATAGATTTGTTGGTTTAGCATCATTTTTAAATTTTTTTGATATTTGAATTTCATATAGGGGTGAAAAATTGAAAATAGATGTTTAGACCATTGTAAGGGCATCTACTAGAACTGCATCTTCTAATAGGGTGCATCGAACCTTGATTGTTTAAGGTAGACACCTTATGTAAACCACACCATTTTAAGTTTGGAAAATGTTTATATAAGGTGTCAACCTTATACTATTGAAGTATTGTGCACCTCAAAAATCATCTAGAAGAGAGCCTTTCAATTTTGGAAGTCCCTCCAATTGGATCATCTTGAACTCAAGATGCATAGATGTGAAGAAATAAAGAGCTTTTAAGTCCTAAAAATATTATATTTTGGAACAAGTTACCTGGACCGTCTATTTTTCAAAAAAGAAATAGAAAAAAAGGCAGACAATGCAGGTGTAAACTTGTATAGTCATTATTTCAAATTATGATTATTAGAGTCGTACATGTTAATCCCTTATGGCCAACTAAATTATAGTAACTCAATTTATTGATGATTAAAATGGAAGCTGACGCAGGTGAACTAATGATTAGTTCACATCAACTGTTAAACCACCATGGCACAACATTAACAGGCCCTCATCCACACACACTTAACCCACCACGGTATTCCACATCTAAATATACTTGGTTATGAACAGATGCCCTGGTTTTCTAAACTTGAGTACCTAGCTTCCTTAACTTTGAGGAAATGAAGCTATTAATTTCAGGGTTCCTTTTTTGGCTACTTTTTTACCAACATTGAAAGCAGGGAACATAGATGAGGAGTTAGGAACTGTGTTTGAATCTTGAGGATGAAACAGTGAGTTTCTTCGCATTGGAGATATTGTTTTTGGCTCGCTCGCACATGAAGCAGCTGGTCTCTCAGATAAGGGAAGTGCATTATGGTGACGTGAAAGACAACGCCCCTGTCAGCAGAGTAATACACGTATCAGAGAGGGAGGATTCCCATGAAATAATGAAAATAACAGAGATAACATTTCAAGAAGAAGCATCATAAGCTATATATAAGAAGAATTAGAATTCAAACAAAACTCAAATTGATACTTCATTTTTAAGGAAATTTAGGAAATACGTGAGAATTCACATTTGAATAAGTTTTTAAATGATGATGAAAAAGCTTTCATGGTCCACATAATATAGGTGACATTGTAGTTGTGTATCAAATTCCTTTTTCCTATAACTCGTGACTTTGGCAAACAATACCATATTTCTAATATTTTGTACAGTTTAGGAGTAGACATGCTTTGTTTGATTAGTCAAAATGAGATGGGCCTGCTGTAAATATGAATGAATGACTGAGAAAAAATTGATGGAAGGCACTTCTTTGACATAATTTAGGGCCCATCTAGCATTTGAAATAAAGCCTAAAGATAGGCTTGTTATTCTATTCTGGGGCACATTGAATTTGACTGTCATTTCATAAGTGAGGGTTACCGCAAGAGAGATGCATATATTATGTGTCCACAAAACCACCTAGATACACATCCTTACCAAAACATTACTCAGACACTGAAGGGAATGACTCACTCCAACCTTAGGTTATGCTGCACCAGTTTCATGACCAAAATTAATGCTTCAAAGTATTTCTATTATTAACAAATGGCCCAAATTCATAAATATTTTGTCATTGTATTGTTGTTATTAAATCTCTCAGGAACAAATTAACGGAGAAAGAAAGAGCCGATTATTGCTGGATAATACTTTGCAATAGACCTCCAACAAATATATCAATCTTGGATTCTAGAAATACAAGAGACAACCACAATGGAAGCAAAGTATGCTATAGCTGTAAAACCATTTTATAAAAAGGAAAGAATAAAGAACATGGCCAGAGAAAAAGTAAGTACCCGTGAATTTTGACAAGAAGAAGAATCATAAGGAGTTCCAAAATATGTATACCCTGCATATAATACAAAGAACGAACCATTGCAAAATTATAGAGCCCCTATTCGCATAACAATATCAATATTCAAAAAGAAAAATAAGCTACATTCACGAGAATTTACAGTGCTGGAAATGATATGAAAGGACAAATTGTATCACCTTTCCTCCTTGAAATGCATTGTGCACCAAAAGCTTTCTTAGGCCATGGATCATAGCTCCGAGACAAACTCAGCTGAGGATGAAAAGACTTTGATTCCCCTTGATGAAAAAGATACTCATCTCTTTTGTACTTACTAAAATTGGTTTCAGATGAAGAGAGAAAACATGCCCCTCCTAACCCGACAATTTTTTCTTGCGGAGTGGGGTGTGAACGCAAAGTGCTTTGATCCATTTCAAAATTCGAATTCTCTGTTCTTTCAGTGTTAGAGCGAAAATCTAAGATTTCATTTCTTTTTGTGAGTAAAGAGTTATTGCAGTTCTTTACAAAAGGCAAGCCTTTCGGAGCTAAAGGTTGAAAGAAGGATGAAACACCATGGCAGACAAGGCCACTCTGTTCAACTTGCTTTCCATTTCTCTTAGAGCAAAAATCTGAACCCATCCCCTTTCCTCTTTCTGAGAGCCCCCATTCCAAAATAGGTCTCTTAACACCAGTTGATTCATTAACCCTGGGTGAGAACTTAACCTGAATTTTACTCTCTAAATTACCCTTCCTTATATCATCACTTACACAATTGTTCCGATTAAACAGTGGTTCTTCACCCACACAACCATCACCATGACCTCCATTTCCAAGCTCTGCAGCATCTTCATGGATTCTCTCATGACAACCAGGATTTTCTCTCACTTGATCGGCCAATCTCTTAACCCAAACATGAAATTTTCGCTGACTCAAAAGATCAGAAGAACACAAAGGCCGATCATTGGGTCTCGATGAATTGCGGTTCCTAGGCCTAACCTGAAAAGGCCCAAAATCAGTAACAAAATCCCCATTTGAAAGGGCTCTTTCTTTTTCAGGCCAACTATGAAAAACCCTAAAATGATGGCCAAATCCTACACCTGATTGGGCTCGAGATTCAATTGTTGATGCAGTTGTTCTCTGAGCTAAGATGGTCTTTGATCCTCCACAACCAGTATTTGATAAGTTTTTGGTGGCTTGAAAGGAATTACAGGGAGAATACAGGTCTTGGCCACTACCAACTATTGCCATGGGGTCCAAGTCGCCATCAATGAGCGTGAAGCTTGGTTTTAACCTTCTTATCCATGGAGACTGAACCCACTGAGACTCCTCGAGTAAATCACTTGAGCAATTGGGTTTCTCATAATTGGGATCGAGGTTCTTTTCAGTGCTCTTACTGCCTACTGAGCTGCTCTTGGAGAGCATGAGGGCCATGAGTTGGGTTTTCTAGAGTTGATTTCTCAGAGAGAGAGAGAGAGAGAGAGAGAGAGAGAGAAAATATCAGGCACTGTTATATTGCTCGTTTTTCCATGAATGGTTATTGCGAAGCTTGCCAGGTGTAGTTCTAGGACCAAGCAAAACTAAGAAAGTAGTGGTGAAAAAGAAAAAGGATAAGAGTGAAGAAGAAATGAAGGGAATCTAGTTCTGGCCGTATCTATGAGCCCTGGAACTAAGTTTATTGTCCTACAAGCTCAATTTGTGGAGGTGGGTCTGGAATTCATATTATGGTATCTATAGATAGGGACAATTCACATGATTGGCTGAGCAATTCAGTAGAGAGAGAGAGAGAGAGAGAGAGAGAGAGAGAGAGAATTCATTTGGTAAAGAGACACCATTCACCATTGAGAGAGAAAAAGAGATGGAGATTTCAATTGAAAGAGAGAATCTATTAGCACTGATCCAGGTGTTTTTCAATACATACAGGTGGGACCAAAGAGCACGTGGTCTTTACAAAGTGACGAAAAAGCCTTATGGATACTATAATCCTCATGACTGTAGGAAATTAGTAGTTATGACTTATCAAAGTCATCACCGTTCGGATGAATGAATGGTTGGCTTTGATGATGAGTGTGGGACCTCAAGAAATGAGATTTGAGTCTAAATAAGTCCTTTCCCCTTCTCTACCGCACCGATTGGATGGTCAATGGTGATGAACCTCAAAACTAGTTTTCTCGTAGCCATAAGGATTATAATATATTTTTCTATTTTATGAAGAGGGTGCGATTTTATACAAGGTGTCCGCTTTAAACAATTCAAATAAGGTGCACCTTCAAAGGCTGTTAGTAGATGTAGTTGCACCGGTTCATAATGAAAATTGATTTCCACGGTTAATTATGAAATTTAAAGGTTAAAAAATGATGTAGATCGAGTAGATGTATAAATTCAAAATAGATGGTCTAGATTTTGTGTTATAACATAAAATCCTTTTTGCCTCGTATCTATATTTTTTTTGGAGTTGAGATGATGAATTGAAGTATTTTCTGTGGATTTTTTAGCTAGTAATTACTTTTTTTTATTATAAAGTTGACACCTAACATAAATTTGAGAAAATTATAGACACCTCCAGATTATACTTTCTTGGAATGTCCCACCATGGAACAGATACCACTTGATTGCATTTGCAGAGTCTCCCTCCATGATGATGCAAGCATGATCTTCCTGAAGCTTAAGAACACCTTCTTTAACTGCCCTCAATTTTGCCTCTTAATATCACAAAAGTTAACCTGGCGGTTATAGGTAAAGATAATGTTCCTTTGTGAGTCCCTGAGGGTGCCTCCGTAATCAGCTTTATGAGCTTTTGGGCAAACACTGCAGTCAAAATGCAGTTTGAAGGAGGTGGTATCCACTTGGTAGATCTAACAGGTTTCTTCTTTTGAATGTTCAGGAGATCAGCAAAGTTCGTAGGGGTAACTTTCACATTTAACTAAGCTTGTACCCAATGAACCACTAGCCTCAAGTCTGTTGGGGTAATATCTGTTGGTGCTCTGGAAAGTCACTCATTGACTCTTGAATTCCTCTCCTTCCATAAAGTCGAATGAAAGCAAAAAATTGGTGTATATTCTCGGGTATCACCCATTGCCACTTGGGTATACTTACCACCCAATTCCATAAAGATTTAGCAAAAGAACAGCATAGGACAAGGTGATTGATGTATTTTGATTGCACATCTCTACTATTCTATCATTGTTGATCCTGTTGTACTATGATTTAACCGAAAATGTACCGCTAGGTGTGAGCTCCTAGATTTTGGAATCCTATCTACTCGGATAGTGAAAGAAGGGATAAAATTTGGCACATTTTATGCGAAACTGGCTTAGAAAGCAAAAGTCGGAGCATGGTAAGAAAAAGTAACGTGGTGGTTAAAATGAAGGTATTTTAAGTAAAAAAAAAAAAAAAAGACCAACTTACCTATTTTGAGCATGATGCGGTAGGCCTGCCCGTTGTCTATTTTAAAATCATAAAAATGTAGGTCCACTTGGATATCCATTCCTTCTCTCTCCAACAGCCAACAACATACTTCAACCCGTCTAAAACACTCCGATTCAAGTATTTCAAATACCAGAGAGAGAGAGAGAGAGAGAGAGATCTTTTGTATTGGGTCTTATAATGCACGAGAACCGTATCAGATCGACAATTTTAGAGAGATAGACAGAGGGTGTTCTTTTGTATCAGGTCTTATAAAGCATGAGAACGGTGGGTAGATTCCGAACTGGATCAACAATTTTAATTTAGTCGTTTATAAGGTATGTACAGGAACTATGGAACATTGGAACTATTCTATGACATGAATGCCAAAGGAATTAGAACTCAAGGTCCAAGTCTCATACAGATGTTTCTTTCAATTCAGTAAAATCCGTGGCCACCTCGTGGTTCCCCTCCCCCTTATACACATACCATCTTGCACAAGCTAAGAAATAAACCAAATTAACCAACACCATAACCCCAATAGTGTAATAAAAATAATCTAGCCTCCCATGATCAAGATCGTCAGGTAACCAATTGGCCCCATGGCCACCCCCACTGGCGCTGTGCACCACAGCCACCATGAGCGCACTCAGATAGTTCGCGCCGGCCATGCCTAAGAAGAAGAGTGAGCCCGCCACACTTCTCATGTTCTCAGGAAACTGCTTGTAGTAGAGCTCGATTTGCCCTATCACGCCCAAGGCCTCTGATAGCCCTGTTAAGCAAAATTGAGGGACTAGCCAGAACGCAGACATCGCTTGTTGGTCTGTAATTGCCAAGACCCTTCTCTTGCTTTCCACAAGTCCTGCAACGACCATGGCAAGAATAGCGATCACCATGCCTGTTCCCATCCTTTGGAGCAGTGTTATGCCCTCCTCTTTGCCTGTTGCCCTACGCGCCCATGGCATGACTAGGCGGTCATATACAGGAAGCCACAGGGTTAGCATGAGCATGGAGAACACATTGAATGAACCTGGAGGGATCTCAAAGCGACCCAAATGTCGGTTCATTTTCATAGCTTGAAGGATCGCGTAGGTTGTCTGCTGTACTACAGCGACGTTGTATATGATCCCAGAAGCCCAAATTGGCACAACTCTTAGCAAACACTTCACCTCTTCTACTTGTTGCACGTTACACAGCCTCCATCGATCAACTGCCGAGTCTGAAGAGGTCTGAATTGCTGCCTTGGTCAGAAAACTGAACTGATTCGTTAACTGCAGCTTCACATTAAGTACATTAGTGCCGGGGGGATCGAATAGCATCGGTTTCAATTCATCTGGCAGGGTGAGGTTTCTTTTTCTAAATGCTGCAACGATAACTTGAGCGATTCCAGTGAAAGCACTGCCTTCTGGGGCTATCTTAACATAGATCGATGATCCAATGAAGAAGAAAGCACAGGAGAAGAGCATCATTAGGGTTGGGATGCCGAGCCCTAGAGCCCAGCTCACTTTGTCCTGGATGTAGACCACGACGGTTAAGGAGATCATCATGGCAAAGGTGAAGGTGAAGTAGTACCAGTTGAAAAAACTATTGATCCCCCGCCTTCCAGATTCAGTTTCAGGGTTGAATTGGTCGGCACCGAAGGCCAGGTTGCAAGGCCTGATGCCGCCGGCTCCTACCACGAGTAAACTAAACCCGAAGAGGAGGAAGGCTAGTTGTGAAGTCGTCGGCCCTGTGCACATCTCTGAGCCCAACTGTGCGCAGTGGTGCGGGTGCAGTGTCGGCACAGCTGCTGTGAGAGTCATCGCAAACATGCCCTGTGTAGGGATGAATTGCAAAAAAAATAAGAAAATACATAAACAAATTTTAGCCAATTCTAACTGAATTACTACACATTCCTACGAATTTGTGTAGATTTCATAAATGATGGAAAGAGCTCATGAACTTGTGTAGATTTTATGACAATGGTATTATACCACTTCTAGCTGATTATATTAATAAATTATTTATAAATTAATTCAGCAATATTAGCTGCGATTGTATGGTGATGCTGGTTTACTGAACTTTAGAAACATTTATCCTGATTAAAAGTCATAGTCACCATACACATAATTAATTTTAATTAATCATTCAGGTGCATCACGTGCCAAAACCATCCTCAGACTGTTGAAATACCCAAAGGGCACCAAAAACCAATTTTTTATAGAGAAGGCTTTACCCTACCGCATAAGACTCATATACTTTCCCCGTATCCGACCGTCTATTATGAATGAACAGCTGAGATAGCTCCAATCATAATGTCACGTCTCTATATTATTTTATTTTTATTTTTTTTTTTACAAATTATTTTGACACCAAATTTTGGATGTTCACTCCTCACTTAAGCTCGCACTTGTAAAAAATATAGCTAATAAAATAAAATAACTAAAACACTCCTGAAAGATTTAAGGGGCATTTTGGTTATTATATTTTATCAAAAAATTCTTTTTAATATTTTTTTAACTGACGCATCATTGAGTAGATGGCACGCACCAGTTCATACAATTATATATATAAAAAAATTAAAATAAAATACTCTGAGGCATCATATTTATATCCAACAGTTAGTGGCTCACTTGATCTAAGTTGGACGGCTGGATGGGGGGGGGGGGGGGGGGGGGCCGAGCGGTTCAGAGTCGAAGCACTGATTTTAGAAAAAACTAATGCAGACTAATTTACTATTTGATAGAGCAAAATGGCAGATCAAAATTCATGTGGCCGATCACAAATAGTTGGAAAAAGGATATGATGATGATAGTCAATACTAATTTACATTTGAACATATTCATTTAGTAGAGAAAAATCCATATGTTGGTTTCTCATTTGTTTTGTAAGATATATCAAATTACATCTAAACTTCTTTTCAATTTACTTACCATCAATTTCATTTACCGGGTAGAGTTAGTAACTCACCGTAAAAGAAGCTATACAAGCAAAGCCATGGGTTTTGTAGCGACCATAGCAAGCATCACTTAGGAAGGCTCCCAACAAAGGTGAGAAATTAGTGGTTCCGGACCACACGTTAAGGAGTAGGATGGCCGAGACGTGCTTCATGTTGAAGACGGTTGTGAGGTATACTACGAGATTTGAAGTCAGTCCTACGGTCCCCAGCTTCTCAAACGTTTCATTGCCTGAAAAACCAATATCAAAGAAGAAGATGAGCACCATTTTGATATATATATATATATATTCTAGCTCTAATACAAGCAGCAGTTAAGACTTAATAATAAACTGGCTTTTCTCGCCATTGTTTATGAATTATAAAATCCATAAAATAACTGAACATGAAAATCATGAGGTTGAGATTGTTAATATACCAATGATGTATGGCATGGCCTTCCATCCTCTATGAAGAATCTTTGGGGCCTCTTTTCCCTCCTCCATCTTCATACTTCTCTAACAACCACACACCCTCTCTCTCTCCCATACATATAATGGAGCACAGGAGGCAGCCGCGTTGAAGTCAAGACTCAAGTGAGAAGAGTAAAGACAAGCCCGCCACTTTCCTCTTTTTCTCTTGGCATGCAGTAATGAAAAGAAAGTTACGAAAGGCACCTCAAACTTTTATGGTGCAGTTTGTATATAGCCTAGCCGACTCTTTAAACATTCAAAGTAGAGCTTATCTTCAAATAGTGTCGAGAAATGTGGTTTCAATATTTGAAATCTTTGTAATAGCCTTAAAATATATTTTCATCTTTTATTAAACCTTCGAAATAGTGTAGATCGAGTAGATCTATGAAAACTTGAAAATCTTGAAAATTGACGGTCCAAAAATGCATTATAAGATGCACTATTTCCAAAACTTAAAATCTATTTTTTTCTCATGTACATGCATCTTGATGTCTAGATGATCAATTTGAGGATATTTGGGCATCAAAATATCCTTTTCTAGTGAAATTTTGAGGTAGGCTCTAATCTGATTGTTTAGAACCTCGGCTCTTTTTCCAACTTTTTATTTATCCAAGTCAATGTCTGCACAGAACAAATAATATTAAGGATCTCACAATAACAATGACAATGAAAACCAAAGAAAACCTAGAGATTCTCATTACAAAAATGCCATCAAATTATTAAAAGTAATCCCACTTGGAGAAGCCACTTTGTGACGGTAATGGCTGGAGAAACTGGCACGCAACATGAACTAAGAATGTAGACAATGGAAAGTTGTCTTCTCTGTTTTTGAACCAGTTAAGGAATTTCCATTAAAAAGGTGGAAAGCTACAGGCTGAGAAAGCCTCAAGGAGAAGTTGTTTTGTTTCATTTTATGGAGAACAAGCGGTGGGCTGTTCTGGAACGGAAAAGAAGTGGGGTTAGCTAAAATAGTAGATCCTTTCCTCTTATGTGCCATGAATTATTGTTGGACATTTGGAAGTTAAAATTAAAGATATAGAAGTAAAAAATATAAACTTATTATTTTCAAAAAAATTAAACTATGAAAAAGTACACATAATATTATTTATCTTTAGTACAAGGTGAAATTGAATGGCTGAATTTATTCTATTGATCAAGCTCAAACTTCAAAATAAATTTTTCAAACTTTATGACAAACACAAGCCATCAGATTTTACAATCGGATAGTTACAAGTAATTGTCACGTCCTAATATCAACAATCGGATAGTTACAAGTAATTGTCACGTCCTAATATCAAAAGTAAATATTCTTATTGCATACAATCCCGAAAAGAATACCCTCTTTAATATTGAGTTTTGGATGACACCCGGGTTTTGCTACTAGTTTGTTTGATACTTTTGTTTGGGAATTATTCGAGTTAGTGCAAACCTTCCAAATTTAGAAGCTAAAATATGCTGACGTGAGGTTTTGGCTTTTGAATTTTTTTTTTTTAATGTACGAGGAGGTCCAAGTTTCAAATTCCAACTAATGAGCCCAATAAACAAAATAAAATGAAGGAAAATAAATAAATCGTTACCTCATAATTTTTCAAAAATTGTAATTCAAGCATTGGAAGACTTTCACATCTATCATCTCGGCTTGAATATTATGGTTATGAAAAGAAAAAAAAGATTTCAAGCTCTAAAAATAGTGTATATTGCACAAAATTATCTAGACCGTTCATTTCACCTTAAAACTAAGTGTTCATAGACCCACAAGATTTGTAGTGTTTATTGTGATTCAAATTTTATTGTGACTGTTGGAAATTGATTTTAGAGCTATCATGGGGATTGCCGTTATCGAAAGTGCTTTCTAGACAAGGATTTGAGGGGAGGCTTTATTTTATTTTTTTTATGCGAATTGGACGGCATTTCTACAATATGCGGTCCCAAGGCATAAAAAAGACACGGTTTCTACGAGTCCTTGTAGAAATGAGTCGACTCTTAAAAATCTATTTTTTAGATGGGTTTTCGGACCTAATTTTTTAGGACGTGTGACTTCTAACATGGACATCGTGAATATATAAAAAAAAAAGAAAAAATTAAGAACTAAAAATAAAAATTTTGTGAAGAAAAACATTGATTTAGATGGACCCCAAGATGGGCATGTAGCGAAATATTTAATCCTTGACCAAACAACCATATCCTTTCATATGTGTTATGTATCCATTATGTGTTTGTCTACTCCAATGTGAAGCCACATGAGCATGTTGTGGCTAGGTGTTGTGCCCTCGCGTTAACTAACATCCAATCATGTATGCATCTTTTTCAACCACCAAATGCAATCAAGCCACAACCTAGATCTTGACAATCAAATGGATTTTGGAAATCAGAGCTCCAGGGTAGGGGTGGCAAGCGGGTCGGTCCTGGCATTGACCTGATGAGTGGATTCAACTCTGGACTCTAGTATTGGACCCAACAAGTCGGTTGGGTTGGGTTGGGTTGATCTAGATCCAGTCAGGGTGAGGCTAGGATCTAGGCTTATCTTGGACATTATCTGGTCAGGTCTGGGTTCAGTGACTAGATCCGACTGGTTTTGGGTCGGGTCCAGGTCAGGGTCGACTAGGACCCAACTTGACCATTTACTCCCCTAGCTAGAAATTACATTGTCTCGTAAGGTTTCCATGAAAGATGGTCGTTTGTCGGATGGACTGGTCCCTCGCAGGCAAGGGATAGAGCCTTAGAAATCGCTTGAACCCAAAACAATAGAAAAATCTATATGAAAAAGCGGGTAAGGGCCCATCTTTCTTACTGAATTACCCAGCAAAATAGAACCCGCAAGTTCTACTTCTCCTTTGGCTTTCCCACAACGCCAATTTTCTTTTATAGAGAGTTGGTGACTTTGTTAGCCCCGGATCTAAACCCTATCGCCCTGAACCCCAAACGTGACATTAAGTAAACAACCTAACATTCGTGATCTGGTTGGTTCATCTCCTATAGTCATTTGGTTGATGAACATTGGTATTGCTCTACATCTAGATTTAGCATGAGGAATACCACCAACTCAGGAAGCAAAATACTGCAAATGTCAAATACATTTCTAATAAGGGCAAGCTTTCTATGTTTTCCCTACAACGTAAAACTTATATACTTCCCCTTATCCAACCGTCTATTCTGAATGAAGGGCTAAGATGACCCCAATCACAATATCACATCTCTATACTATTTTATTTTTAATTTTTCTATAAAATATTTTGATATCAAATTTTGGGCATCCAATCATCTATTAAATTTGCAATTCTATAAAATATTAAAAATATTCTCAATAAAATAAAATAACTAAAATACCCCTGAAAATTAAAAAGGTATTTTGATCATTATATTTTTTCAAAAAATTAGTTTTAATTTTTTTTTTTTTAGGTGCGCCCCAATGAGAAGATAACACATACCTAATTTTATATTCATATAATTTGCATAATAAAAATATTCTGAATTGTCAGATCTAAGATCACACGGTAAGTAGCTCACTTGATCAAAATTGGACAGCTGGATAATAGGGTAAGCATAGATCTTCTATGCTATAGGGGAAGTATAGATAAACCTTTCCCTTCTAATAAACCTCAAGAGAAGATGGTGCAAGTTGCCCATTTCAAGTTCCTTGGATGATTACCATTTGAACTAATCCTCGTGGTGTTTTCGTTATGGTTGATTTCGTTGGTCACAAATTCAAATAAAAAAAGAGATTGTCTACAAAGAGACCGTTTATTTTTATAGGCAAGCTTTTTATGCTTCCCCTACAACATAAAACTTTTTTATTTCCTCTTATCCAACCGTCCATTTTGAATGGCGGGTTAAGATTGCCCCAATCACAATGTCATGTTCCTATACTATTTTATTTTTAATTTTTTTTATAAACTATTTTGACATCAAATTTTGTACGTCCAATCTTCTATTAAACTCGCACTAGCAAAAAGTATAAAAAATATTTCTAATAAAATAAAATGACTAATATGCTCTTGAAAGTTTTAAGGGGTATTTTGGATATTATATTTTATCGAAAAATTATTTTTAATATTTTTTATAGGTGCGCCCCAATGAGAAGATGATACGTACCAAATTTCATATTCATACAATTTGTATAAAAAAACTAAAAATAAAATACTTTGAGATGTCGAATCTAAGATCAAACGGTGAGTTGCTCTCTTGATCAAAATTGGACGGCTGGATGGTAGGGGAAGCATAGATCTTCTATACTGTAAGGAAAGTATAGAAACTTTTCCCTATTTTTAACAATTATTCCCACTCTTTTGATATCAAATTGCGATCGAGAATCCTGGCTTGGAAATGTACCTTAAAGCTTGGCCCAAAAAGGATCTATTGGGCTGGGCTTGGGCAAGCTCATTAAGGAGCACCTTTTTTTTTTAGTTTTTTTTTTTTATATATCATTCTTCAAACTTTTATTATTTGTCATAAGCTTTAAAAAAACACATATGTTATATTATCTTTTAGAAAATTTAATATTTCAATATAATTTAATAGTTTTTTTAGAAAGAGAGAATGAATTTTTAGAGAGAGAAACAAAGATTGGTTTCCTAGAGAAAGAGAAAATGGGTTTTAAGAGAGAAAGAGAGATTGAATTCCTAGAGAGAGAGAATGTGTTTTAAAGAGAGAGAGAGAGCAAGAGAGATTCTGTTTCTAAAAAGAGAGAATTGGTATTGAGAGAGACATAGATTGGGTTTCTAGAGAGAGAATGAGTTTCTATAGAGAGCAAGAGAGAGTAGGTTTTTAGAGAGAGAATTAGGTTTCTACAATCAAGAAAAGTTTGAAGAATTGATATTCTTTTTTTTGTTTTTTGAAAAACGACTGCTAAATGGGCCAGGCCGAGATTTTATTTGGTCGACCAAAATATTTTGGGCTTATCGGGCCAGCCCGGCCCAGTGACAAGTTCGGGCCTTTTGGGCCATTTCGGCCTGGCCAGGCCTGGTGAATAGTGCCTTATCTGGTGGCCCGGCTCCACCGAAGCCCAAAAACGGCCTGGATTAGGCTCGAAAATGGCCCAGTATCCCGGCCCGGACCATTTGCAGCCCTAATGAGAACGGTTCCTAAGCGGATCAACAATTT